GAGTTTATTTCTGGACTCTCAATTCTATTCCATTGATCTATATTCTTATCCGATTCCAGTCTTGTACTGTTTTGATTACTGTAGCCTTGTGGAAAATTTTGAAATCAGGAAGTGTGAGTTCATCAAAGTTGCTTTTCTTTGTGGAGTTTGTTTTGACTATTCTAGGTCCCTTGCATTTTTATATGAATTTTAGCATTATCTTGTCAATTTTTGCCAAAAATCTACTTGAGATTTGACACGGATTGCATTGAATTTGTAGATAAATTTGAGGACTATTGCCATCTTAACTAGAAACCCACAAATACAGGATGTCTTTCCATTTATTTAGATCTTCTTTATTTTAACAATGTTTTGTGGTTTTCAGTGTACAAGTGTTGCATTTCTTTTGTTAAGTTTATTCTTAAGTACTTTATTCTTTTTGATGCTATTTTAAATGGAATTTTTCCTTAATTTTACTTTCAGAATGCTTATTGCTAGTATATAAAAATAAATACAACCGATTTTTGTATGTTGATCTCAAGTCTTGCAAACTTATTGAACTCATTTGTTATTTCCAATAACTTTTTATGAATTCCTTAGGATTTTATCTACACAAGATCATATTATCTGTGAAGAGAGATAGTTTACTTCTTCTTTTCCAATACGAATGTCTTATTTATTTTTCTTGCCTAATTGCCCTGGCTAGAACCTCCACTATGATGTTGAATAGAAGGGGTGAGAGTGGACATCCTATTCTTGGATGGAAATCCTCATCGATTCTTGCTCTTAGGGGGAAAGCATTCAGTCTTTCATCATTAAGTGTGATATTAACTGTAGGTTTTCATAAATGCTGTTTTTTAAGTTGAGGGAGATACCTCCCGCCATGGGTTGAATGTGTCCTCTCCCAAATTCATGTTTAAACTTAATTTCCATTGTAATGATATTAAGAGATGAAGCCTTTTGGAAAGTGGTTAAGTCATGAGGCCCTTGCCCTCATCAATGGATTAGTGCCTTATAAAAGGGTAGGGGGGATCTAGCTCAGCAGACCTTTTTGCCCTTCTACCTTCTCCCATTTGAGGATACAGCGTTCACCTCTTCTGCCATGCCAGGATGCAGCAAGGAGGTCTTCAGCAGACACCGAATGCAGCCTTCCCAGCCTCTAGAACTGTGAGAAATAAATTTTTATTGTTTATAAATTGCCCAGTCTGTGGTACTTTATTATAGCAGCACAAATGGACTAAGACACCTTCTATTCCCAGTTTGCTAAGTGGTTTTATCCAGAAGGGGTGTTGGACTTTGTTAGATACAATACTTTTACTGTGTCTATTGAAATGATCATGAGGTCTTTGTCATTTATTCTATTTATATGGTTTATTACACTGATTTTTGTTTGCAAACAAACTCTGTTAACTTGCATTACTTGGATAAATCCCACTTGGTCATGGTGTATGATCCTTTTTATATGTTGCTGGGTAAGTTTGCTAGTATTTTGTAGATTTTCTAACTTATATTTACAAGGAAACTTGGCTTATAGTTTTCCTTTTTGTGATGCTTTTGCCTGGTTCTGGTATCATAATAATACTGGCCTCATATAATGAGTTGGGAAGTGTTCCCTCTTGTTCTATTTTTTTAGAAAACTGCAAAGAATTGGTATTGTTTAAATGAATGGTAGAATTCACTAAGATAAGCTATCTGGTCCTGAGATTTTCTTCGTGGAAAAATTAAAATTAGTGACTTAAGCTTTTTACTGTTATAGATTTACTCAGATTTGCTATTTCTTCTTGAGTCTTGTTTTGTGTTTGCATTTTCTAGGAATTTTTCCATTTCATCTAAGTTGTCTAATTTAGTGGTATATGGTTTTTCGTAGTATTCCTTTGTAAAACTTTTTATTTCTGTAAGATTGATAGTGATCTTTCTTTTTTTCCTGATTTTGGTAATTTGAGTCTTTGTTTTCTTTGTCAGTCTACACAAAGGTTACAGTAGTAATTTATCTGTAGGACTTTTATGTGTAGAGTTTGCTTTAATACAGGAATTAAACAAAAATTCCTGAAGGCATTTCTTCTGATTTCTTGGTCTTCCCAGAATGTAACTTCCCCCTTTTCTCTCTACCATGCTAATAAGGATTGCTTACTCCTTCCTTTTATCCCCCAGTTATGGCCATCCTTTTCTTTGTCCTTCAAGACACAATTTTGATCCCACATTCCAACATCTAATCAAACCAAGGGGTCCAATGAAGTACATTTCACTGTCTGTGTGTGTTTCTTTGGTGTCTTTGCCGAATCTCGTGTAACACTACTGACTCCAGTCTTTCTATTTTAAATTATCACAATTCAGAAATTCACTTTACTTCATAGAAGTATTCTACGTTTCATGCTTGGGAAGTCGATTTTGTTCATGCCATTTGAATTCAAAGTTTAACAACAAACTTGCTGCATCATATTTAGACACTCAGGATTTTGTTCCTGGAAGGATTTTAGAGATTATCCAGGATTAAGCAGCAGCCACTCAGTACCAGTCAGTTGTTGCCAGATGGGAATGAGAACCCACTGTGACTAGATCTTCTCATTAAAACAAACAAACATAAATCTGCGTATTTGTGGGAAACCTCCAAATTTTTAAGTGAAAGCAATGAATTAAAAACTCTTAAAACTCTGCTAACGTCAAGGAGCCTGTTCTTTTAGTTTATTTGTATCCTGCTTTGTCTGCTAACGTCAAGAACCCTGTTCTTTTTAGTTTATTTGTATCCTGCTTTGCTAACGTCAAGGACCCTGTTCTTTTAGTTTATTTGCATCCTGCTTTGTCTTCAGCATGCAGTGGAGCGGTGATGTTCCTGAAGAGTTTAGCTGAAGGAACTCTAGGAGATTATAGGTCTTGCTGTATCTTAAGAATGATATAAACAAAAAAAAAAGTTATTATCTTCAGCCTTTTAATATAAATATAGACTATTTGGAACCAGATGGGTATTAAGAAGCTATGTGAGTGAACTGTCTTCCCTCCTTAAACTTTTACACTTGATTAGCCAGTCATTTATGAAGTTGGATCTTCAAAGACAGTTTATATTAGCCCTGGGAGTAGTCCCTTCTACTTAGCTAGAAATTGAAGTGATACTTTAAAATTAAGCATCTGTTCTCCTATTCAGCTCAAGTTTTAAGGACTGGTGCCTTCTGGAAGTGGGGTGCCCATAAAGAAGCATCCTGGGCAATTTGACATTCAAAGAAAATGGCCTGGAAAACATGCCCACGAGGATTCCAGCACCAGTATTCAAGGCAAAGCTGTCAACATGTTTAAAGCCATCCTGGGAAGTGACTAAAGGCACTCACATTTTTAAAACTGAAAATGAGTGCTATTTGTTTTGGAGATAGAGATAGAATATCCCTTTTGATCTTTTTCTTTTTCTCACTGGCTGATCTCAGGATTTGGTTTCTCTATTCAGAAAAAGAGCGTGGTTGAACATTTTGCTCTCTTAAGAGTTTTGAGCCCTTTACAGCTGACTGGCATAGTCCATAGTTTCCTGATACCTTTCTTAAGATTTCCTTCCTGAGGAAACTGTGTCTCACAGAGGAGGAATGACGCCTTTGACCACATCCTGCTGTTCTTGTGGCTGAGCAGTTTTTTTTCAGATCTCAGGGAAAGGCAAGGTGAAGTCACCTCCTAACACTTCTCTTTTTTCCCTGTAGACGTTTAGAACTAGAAGCCTTTGAGCCAGCACAACTGTGCGTGTAAATACGTTTTGCCAAGTAAGGAGATCCATTTAAACAGGGCCCATTTAACGGGGAAAATGAAAATCTTGAACATTCAGCCTGGGAGATGACTGATGCTGGAGCACGCCACTAAGTGTAGTATAAAAATCTCTCTATTGAAAAACCGAAGTGCTTTTACATCCTTGTCTGTGACTTCTGTTTTTAATTCATTTAGGCAATGTTGATTTTTTTCCCTCTTAATGAATAGCAATTGAGCTGTACATTTTACATACCAGTAAGTGACTATGAGATGCTTTTGAAAATTAGCCACTAGCAAGTACATTTCACATCTGAAGCAACATTTTGGCAGATGAACTCAGCTTAAAATTGGGACTGCCGTGAACAGTTAATTCCATGTGGAACGCCACCAAACCTTTAGGCATTAAACGGAGCATGGTGTAAATCCTCGATGTGTACATTGCACTTGATGAGATGGCTGGCCATCCTAATAAAAAGTGAGTCCAGAGGCTAGACATCTGGTATGGTTGTTTTTGCAAAATAGTTTGTCACATTGCAGCATATAGAAAAATGATAATTGTCATTCTCTTTGCCACCATTCCTCCCAGGACTGTGTTTTTGTCTGCTCTCCTGTCAGAATTATGTTAAACAGTAAAAATAAAAAATATGCTCCATAGTTTTCCAAACTTATCTTTCTCAGTTGGTTGCTCTTAAGGAATGTGACTTACGACCTCTACTTTTGGACGCTGCAGTTTCTTTCTTTCTCACACATATAAGTAAGATCTGCTGAAAGGGTAAAGGAGGAGGATGTATGTTTTTCAAATGCTGACTTTCTTTTACTACCTGCTTGTATCTATGTCAAAGAACATGTTGTATTTCCTCCTTTGCTGAAAGTCACTTACTCTGCTTCATTTTGCTTTCCAGTTCTGGTTAATATTTATTATTTTGAAGTCTTAGTTTTATTTTTGTAAACATTGAGATCTGTGACTTCAAATTATTATTCATTTACCCATTATAAGTATCTTTTTTTTTTTTTTTTAAGACAGTCTAGCTCTGTCGCCAGGCTGGATGATAGTGGTGCAATCTTGGCTCACTGCCACCTCTGCCTCCCGGCTTCAAGTGATTCTTGTGCCTCAGCCTCCCGAGTAGCTGGGATTACAGGTGTGCGCCACCATGCCCAGGTAATTTTTGTATTTTTCGTAGAGACAGGGCTTTGCCATGTTCGCTAGGCTGGTCTCGAACTCCTGGCCATGAGTGATCTGCCTGCCTGGGCCTCCCAAAGTGCTGGGACTACAAGCATGAGCCACTGCGCCCAGCCCATTATAAATATCTTTTAAGTGTTTAATTTACTGGAGCATCAAAATACTTAAATTGGTGAAGCTAGTATGGCTTGTTTACCATGCATTCTAACTTTGAGATGTTCTGAATGTGAAGTTAAGTAGAATGTAATGATTTGATCCATATATCTCACCTCTTCAGTCCAAGGTCTGTAGGTTAGAAGTTAGAATGGGAAAGGGGTAGTGGTGTTTTTTCACCTCTCTTCTGTCTGGAAAACTTCTAACCCTTTCCCTTTGTACGTTTGTCAAATCCTACTTGTCCTTCAAGCATCTTGATACACTGGTAGCATTAATTATGTATTCTAGAACTCCTTACACTTGAGGCACAATGAAAAGCTTCTTTCATGCAATGTTTCTTTAAATATAGGAAGTTTTAAATGGACATTTGGGGCTGTGCTTTCAATTATACTTTGAAAAGACTTTCCCCAAATTGCTACTGTCAAAGACAACCCTATGTTAAAAAAGAGAGGACAGAGCAATTTATATCAATGAAAAAAATATCTAAACTTTATTGAAATCACTGTATTGTTCACCAACAAAAAGGTAGACTGTATTCTGAAGGCTTCTTCTAGAGACTGAGCTGCCATTTGGCTGAATTGCCCTGGCCTCACTGTGAGTGAATCTCTGCCCCTAAAATGAAATCTCTTCCTTACTTACAAGTAAGTAATACTTACGAGTATTTACTGTGGTTATAAGTTTTTGTTCTTTCATAATAAATCTAGCCCAAAGACATTTCTTTCCTGTAAATTTGCCTCCACAGAAGTGCTCGTAAACAGTATCTGCCTCCATTACCTGTGGTAGACCCAAGTTTGACCATTTTGTAGAGTAAGCATATGCACTAAGAATCAATATGTGTTTTATTAGCACCAAGAGACTCATTGGATTGATTTTTTTTTTCTTTTTACCTTTATGGGCAATTGCTATAAAAAGGTAAATTAAAAAGTTAACCATCTGCTACCTCACTTTTCATTTAAAATCTTTTATTTGATTACTCTTTCCAGGTAATCAATGCTTTCTATTTTGCTATTATACTAGGTAGTGAATGAAGGTGGTTTTAATTTATAGCTTTTATTTATCTTACAGTATTGTCAGAGTCACAATCTTTATGCGTCCTATTAGTAGTCTGGAAAATATTTCTTACTACATCGAAACAGAACAAAATTCAATTTAGAAATATAATTTCCTGCCATGGAGACACTTGATAACAGGGGGGAGATTAATGGAGCCCAGTGACAGAAACTTGATTTAAAGCAGGAGATTAATACTGCTTTATCAGCCTACACTGCAAGTGAATTGGCTCCTAAAGAAAAAAAAATCTTTTTGAAGTTGCTGAGTTGTCTGCCTGTCGGCTGGAAAAAGGTCCCTGGACATCTATTTTGTTATTGCCGAGTATTTGCTGCAAGCTTGTCCATTTGACAACATAGGAACAAACCTGCACACAACACCAGTCTTGCTTATTTTACAGTAGTAACATATTTCTTCTTATTCCTTTTGATCCCACAGGAAGCTTGGATGCTGTGGAGGTCAGCCTCTGACTTAAGGGGATTATATTCAGTAAATCATGTCAAAATTAACGAATAGAATTGCGCTGACACTTCAGTTTGGTTGGATTTAGGTAAAATGTTTAAATGGTATTTTTAATTGCAAAGCTCCTGCCCCTAAGTCCCATTAAAAATATTTTTTTTTTCTATCCTTGACAGAAGTCATTAATTTCCTTTCCCAACTAGAAAAGTACGAATCTTCCGGAAGAACCTCAAGTAAATCTGAAGATTACCTTAATAGATTGAAATGCTCACTATATATGTTCTGAAACAAAATTTGGAGCTTAGAGAACTGTTAGAAATAAGTGCTAAAGGAAGTGGGTCCAAATTTTGAGTTTGATTCCCGGGAAATGAAAGCGTTTATATTGCTGGAATTAAATTTTCAAACTTGCACTTGAGCTATGTGAATTTTTAACTTGATATTTGTCTGGAAAATAAAAAAGACGTAGAAGGAGTTCGTCACCCAGTGGCTTCACAATAACGACCGTGTGTCTTTCAAAAGCTAGAAATTTTAAATTAATAGCTAAGCTAGAAGTTTTAAATTCATAGCTTAGTTACCTTATTACTGAGGGAAAGAGAAATGTTTAACAACTTCTGCTTGGTTTTACTGACTTTGAAATTTTGTAGAAATGAACGGAAAATGTTTTTCATTAATTTTATTAAGTTTTGTAATGGAGTATTTTGCCAGAAGTCAGAATATCTAGATTTTGTTCTAGGACACTTAACAACTTTCTGGGTTCTTATGGTCATTTTTAAACCACTTTCTATTTCTAAGAGAGCTGAAGGGTAATAATAATACTTACCTTCCCACATCACACAGTTATTGAGAATATCAAATGAAATGATTTCTGCAAAATATTTAGACATAGAAAGGGCTATAGCAATATAAACAGTGTTACCTAAAATATCATTAGTATGTATAAACTACTTTAAATATGTTGCATTTGGGATTTTCTTAGGGGAAGATGCATAATTTCACAGACATCTACCTTAATTTTATGTTGATGTGACTGAGACCATTAGTAGTTATTGGAATTGATCCACTGAAGGTTGCTTACATTTTTAAAAATACCTGGAGAATAACCTGTAGTGCATTTCTCCTTGGAACCAAGTATGTGGAATAACTGAAATAAGAGAAATGTGGCGTCCATTTCATTTGCTCGCTGTGAGCTCGCAGTACATGGAAAGCAGGAATGGTATGACTGAATAATACTGAAAATGACCAGCCTGGTGGACATGAGTTCTAAGGACTCCAGGCCAGATTCTTTGGGTGCTGCCCTGTCTGATGTCAGCTGTGTGATCTCTTTAGGCTTCAATAGCTTGTCCACTTCGTTTGGTGCTTGAAAAAACACATAAGCCTGCAGGGAACATTAGGCCCTGTTAAAACTATTTTCCTGGCTTGCAGGCACATACCAAACTCCCAGGTAAAGCACATTAAAGTGGCTAAACATTCACTCAGAGGGGAAGGAGTTGCTTTCAGGAATTTAAAATCATTTCTAAGCCTTAGAATTCAGCAGAGGACGACCTAAAAACGTTTTTAATTTCAATGAACATGCATATGCTTTTCTTTCCTCTTGTTTCACTGATCCAGACGGACCCTCAGCGAATATGCCCCTTTGACCTTTTCCTAGTCATGCAATTACCCTCATCCTGCTTTTTCTCTTTTGCACTTCCTTTCCCAAATGGCCTTTCTTTGGTGGCGTGGTTTAAATTGTGCAGCGCCTACTTCAGACATGGCCGCCTGGATTAACTTTAATCCTCCACTCTGACTTGGCTGGGACCTGACCATCAAGGGCACTGCCCTCTTGGGAGCCAGTGTGGGTTTTGCCTGAGGTTCACAGTAACCCCAAATATTTACAAACATTGTGTTTTCCATCCTTGGGAATGCAGTATGGAAGATTTTACTTTCTCTTTTGTTTTTCTTTTTTAACTCCCTCTTCTCTGTTCTGAGTGACATTTGGGAACAAGAGAACCAAGTATGAAGATTACCAACTGCAACAGCTCAGCAGTGGTTATGAGTTTGGGTTGGCAACTCAGGCCCAGGAGACACAATAGGCTTTAACCTAACATCACTTTTATTCAGCTTTCTGGAAGGAAACAAGGCAGGAGACACAGCAAAAAGATTCAGGATTGTCATCATGGGGAGGTGCACCAGCTACATTAGTGACAGCTTTCTTTTTTTTTTTTTTTTTCTGTCTTTTCTCCCACACATGGCCAAGGTGTGACAGCCAAGGTGTGTGGGGTAACCTTGTCACAGAGAGGCCAGCCCCCTTGCCCCACCAATGTTGTGTATGGTTTTCATCAACCCTGAGGTCTGCATGCCAGCTTGCAGATCCCTCGACTTGGGTTTTTTTTTTTTTTTTTTTTCACACAATAAGGAGGGAGAGACCCTCATTTATCCCAACTCTACTGTTTCCAAGGAAACAGGGCCATGCAAGCTGAGGTCATTCTCAAGCAGGCCTGCCTTAGCCGAGGCCTGATGTTAACCCTTTATTTATACTCACGCCTACTGCTGTAGAAATGGTAGCATCACTATGTACAATGCTAATGCTTAGCTTCCATGTGCTAGTAGAATGTCTTTAATATCAACTTTATTGCTATCTCTTTTCTAGGGCAATAAATGGAAAGGAAAAGGCTGAGATAGAGATCCATTCATCTATCCCTTCATCCAACCATTCAACTCTCCAGTTACTGACTGTATGTTACATGCCTCACCTGAGTGTAGGGACTGAGGATGAAAAAATGGGCAGGATGCAGACCTGACCACTGAATGCTTCATAATCAGCAGGGCAACCCCTCTGCATGCGGGTTACTGTACTGCCAATCTCCAGGTTCCATACAAAACAGAGTGTTGTGAGAGCACAGAGAAGAAAGCAACTCGTTTTTTGGCCAGCATTTTGTATCTTATAGACTTTATTCAGCATTTCCTTAACATGTCCATATAGAATAGAAACTGATCTCCACAATGGTAACTCTGGGATATTGCAAGATCCTAGGGTGCCCTCCAAATCACTGAAAAAAGACTTTAGAGTTATCTGTATTTTATTATATTCTAGGCCATAAATATTAAAATAAATTTTGTATTCCCTCCAAGAACATTAACATAGTATTATGTGTCTAGGAAATGAATGATAAAGGTTTGTTGAGTTAAGTCTAAATAATACTGCTAGGGGCATTTCCTGATATTCAAGACATGTAGTTATGGACAAATAAATAAGATACACTTCAAATTCAAACTTTTGGAGGTTATATCTTCCAAGAGTTCATATCTACTGAGAAAAGATAACATTATTAAAAGAATATGTTAAGGCTGGGGGCAGTGGCTCACACCTGTAATCCTAGTACTTTGGGAGGCCAAGGTGGGAGAATTGCTTGAGGTCAGGAGTTCAAGACCAGCCTGGACAACATAGCAAGACTCCATCTCTACAAAAACAAACAAATAAAAACACGTTAGATAAGTCCATTAATTGTTCTTCTGTAATAGGCTATGGGAGAGTAGTACTGAGGCATGTTACATTTCCAACTTTGAAACAGACGTCAAGGGCGTAACCGCTCCCTTCTACAACACGGTTCTTGATGTCATCATCAGATGCAGTTCTAAGCTGAGGAAGCCATTGATCTGATCCAGTCATTCTGATTTCATTACATAGGATACTTGTTTGTGACATTCACATATATTTTTTCCTTTTATTATTTTCTCTGAATACAATACAAATTCATGAGTCTTTTGCCAGCTTTGGGGAGAATCCAAGTTTAATGTTAGCTGATAACATGATTAATATCCATGTTTAGTTTCAACAAAGAAAGGAGGATAAAATTAAAGAAATCAGCCAGAATGTAGACCAAAAATAATTTAAATAAAATTTAAATACCCTAAATTTAAGGTTATGCATTTCCAGAATCCAAGAGCTCATGAACCCATGGGAGTGTTAAGGGACTCCAACTAATCTGGAAAACAGTTTTTCATTGCCTGTGGAGTGGAAAGTAGGCATAACATAAGGAATAGTGCTATCATAACAAGACCGACAGCCTCATTTGACCATTTAAACTATATGCAGTATAACTTCATTAACAATAGATCATTTTAAAGAATGCTATTAATAGTTGCTTGCTTTTCATAATAATAATTACTCTTTACTGAAGACCTTCTGTCTATTAGGCATGGAGACAAACTTTTTTGAGACATTATTTGTAAGTTTTATATGACCCTGGAATTGAATTATCATCATCAACATTTACAGAGACAAAAACTACCCCTAAGAGAAGTTAAATGACTTTTCTAATACTACATCTATCTTGCTGTAAAGCTCACTCTCTGGCCAGGTGCAGTGGCTCATGTCTGTAATCTCAGCACTTTGGGAGGTCAAAGCACAGGGACGGGGGTGGGGGGATCACCTGAGATCAGGAGTTCAAGACCAGCCTGATCAACATGGTGGAACCCTGTCTCTCCTAGGGTGTGGTGGCAGGTGCTTGTAATCCCAGCTACTCTGGAGGCTGAGGCAGGAGAATCGCTTTAACTCAGGAGACGGAAGTTGCAGCGAGCCGAGATCATGCCGTTGTGCTCCAGCCTGTACGACATGAGTGAAACTCTGTCTCAAAGAAAAAATAAACATAAAAAATAAAATAAATAAATAAAGCTCACTCTCTGTCCTCCAGACCAGTCCTTATTCCTCTGAGGTAGTTCCCTAGGACCTAACTTAGGAATATTCCTTTTATCGGATTCCTGGGAACTGAGGCTCACTTAACTTTGCTGTGTGACATACATTCATGATGGTGGCAGCAATAACAGGATATTCTGAATTTGATCACAAGAAGTGACAACTTTGTTCTCTTCTCTTCTAGCAGCTGGAGGCATTTAGAGGGCTTTTCTGATGGCCACTGAAGGAGACAGAGCCCTCAGATGTCAGGGGACTTCCCAGTAGAGAAAGATACTGAGTCGAACTACAAGGGTGGATGGCAAGTGTCAACATGTGGATGAACTATGGCTTTTGATTCCCTTTTTTGGTGAGCTAGTTTCAGACTGCTGGGTTCTGTACAGGCAACTTCTAAGTAAACTAGAACTGACAGATAATAAACATATAGCTAGGGCTGTAGCAACAGAAATCAATGCATTTCAAGTTCCACATAAGAGAAAGCAGTCAAGGTGTTTCAAGCCCTTTTAGAGTGATGAATGCAATTTACACAATAAGCGAGAAAACATGATTGGGACTAGATGGTGTAAGATCCCATCTAGGAAAAGGAAAAGAAGTGTCTGATGGGGTGATGTTGTTAACCTTAGAAACCGCCGGCAAAATCAGCTCTGACAGTTATCAGAAAGACAAACACACACGAAACTTTGTGAATATAAGCCACAGAAATGGAAAAATTTGGGGTGTGTGTTGATCCACATCACGCTTATAAAAGATAGGGCCCAGCCTGGAACGTGCAGTTGACTGCATTTGTTTTAAGCGAGTCTACCTTTCTTGCCTGATAGACTTGGAACCAAATGACATCCAGGTCTAGAGACACATAAAGACATTTTATGCGAGTAGGGGGCAAGCAGACCCTGTATGTTTCCAGAGAGCTTTTGCCATGTCACTGCCAAATCTTAGACTAGTAGCTAATCAGAATGGCACAGTCCTCTGATGGAAGGCCTTATGGGGTACAAAATAAACGCACTGAAGTTGTTTTTTATAATGACATCTCTTATAAAATAGGCCTCATGTATCCCCCGAACTGTAATGTACTGCAGTCATCTAATAACAGAGTGATGGGAGTTGAGGGAGATGTCCCCCTATGCCCTCCAAAGACCAAACTCCCAACGTGGGGGTAAATCCTTCCCTTTCCTCTTCTGCAGAGGGAGCTTTTCAAGGAGGCAATAGCGTGTCCCTTGGGCTGAGCCTGGGCTTAGTAGAGAGACTCTGTGTGTAATTTTGGATCAGCATCCCTGCTCTGCTATTCTGTGACCTTGGGCAAATTACCTAACCTCTCTGAAGGAGAGTATCATCTGTTGTCATTGGGGATCATGTGATCCCCTCCTTCAGAGCATGACTGTGAGTATTCAGTGGGGTAATGCGTATGGAACACACAGCAGAGCCTGCACACAGTCAGCGCTCAATAGATGTTACCTTTATAAAGCTATGTCATTATTCTAAGCTTCCCTTCCTAACTTTTAAACTGGGCATAATACAAGCCCCCCGCCCCCGACCATGGAGCTGTATGTGAGATTCAAGCTAGTGTAGGTGGGGAGTCTGGCTCACAATCAGCCCTTGATGAATGGTGGTCGTTATTCCTTGGCCCTGTAAACCCTATCAGAGGTTAGACATGCAAAAGGAAGTCGGGTGCCATGGCTCATGCCTGTAATCCCAGCACTTTGGGAGGCCAAGGCGGGTGGATCACTTGAGGTCAGTAGTTAGAGATTATGTTAGAGACGGTGAAACATGGTCTCTACTAAAAATACAAAAATTAGACAGGCATGGTGGTGGGCACCTGTAATCCCAGCTACTTGGGAGGCAAGGTTGCAGGGAGCCAAGATTGCACCACTGCACTCCAGCCTGGGCAACAGAGCGAGACTCCATCTCAAAAAAAGAAATGCAAAAGGATTCAGCAGTCTGAAGGTTGATCCCAGGACACACACAAACTGAATGAAGATGAATTAGGTGAATAAAGTTCCATCTCTCTTCACTCTTTACCTCATTCAATTAGGCTCCTCACGTTGATGCACCACTGGTTCATCTGGCTTCAGGTTCAGGCTCCACCCCAGGAGTGACTTGTCAAGACGTGCTTGTTTCCTGGGTCCCAGGGCTATGTGCTCTCCTAAACTATCTCGCGTTCTTGCTTAATAGCTAATAGCTGGAGAAAAATGGTCTAAAGAAGCGTTTCCACCTGTCCCTACTTGCGCCTGTCTTGTTTACTGCACATAAAAGATTAAGAACTCATGGTTTAAAAAATCAAATCTGGTCTGACATAATCCCGTGTTCCAAATCACTATTGTTTTGTAAAAAATCAGCCTAAAACTTTAAGGCTTAGAACATTGACAACCGATTTATTATCCTGCTGATGAGGACTTGGGAAGGGTTCAGGTGGGCAGGTCTGGCTCTGGGTTTCTCACGTGCTTGCAGTCAAACTGTGGCTGGAGTCTCAGTACTTCTCCATCTGGGCTCTTTGAATGCGAGTGCTCGCAGGGGGGCTTTAGCTCTCCGGCAGGAGTGTTCCAGAGACCCAGGAGGAAGCTGCATCGCTGTTTATGACACAGCCTCAGAAGCAGGACTGATTATATACTTCGTGGGCCTAAGGCAAGGTGAAAACGTGGGCCCCTTGTTCAAAAATTCTTAAGAAGCTCGAGTGTAACAGCAGAGCATTAAACCAAGTGCGGGGCTCTTCTGAGCATGGGGCTTCTATGATTTCATAGGTCTCATGCCTATGAAAGTCACATGGTGTCACTCCAAACATACTTTATTGGTTTGCCAGTCACTAAAGTCAGATTCGAGGGGGAAGGGATGTAGAACCTACATTAAAAAAAAATTAATTTTTGTTGATACATAGTGGGTATATACATTTATAGGGTACATGAGATATTTTGAGACAGATATACAATGTGTAATAATCACATCAGGGTAAATGGGGTATCCATTACCTCAAGCATTTATCCTTTGTATTACAAACAGTTCAATTGTTTACTTATTTCAAGTGTGAAATTAAGTTATTTTTTACTATTGTCACCCTGATGTGCTATTAAATACTAGATCTTTTTTATTCTATTTTTTTAATCCATTAACCATCCCCACTTCCCCCTCTTCCCACCACCCTATTACCCTTCCCAGCCTCTGGTAACCATCATTCTACTCCCTATCTCCATGCATTGAATTATTTTACTTTTTAGCTCCCAAAAATAAATGAGAAAATGTGAAGTTCATCTCTCTCTGTTTGATTTTCTTTTTTTTTGAGATGGAGTCTCGCTCTGTCGCCCAGGCTGGAGTGCAGTGGCACGATCTTCGCTCACTGCAAGCTCCGCCTCCCGGGTTTACATCATTCTCCTGCCTCAGCCTCCCGGGTAGCTGGGACTACAGGCGCCCGCCACCATGCCAGGCTAGTTTTTCGTATTTTTTAGTAGAGACGGGGTTTCAGCATGTTAGCCAGGATGGTCTCTATCTCCTGACCTTGTGATTCGCTCGTCTTGGCCTCCCAAAGTGCTGGGATTACAGGCTTGAGCCACCGCGCCCGGCCTCTCTGTTTGTCTTACTCCACTCAACATAATGACCTCCAGTTCCATCCATGTTGTTGCAAATGACAAAATCTCTTTTTATTTATTTATTCATTTTTTGTGGCTGAATAGTGCTCCATTGTGTATATGGAACACTTTCTCCCCATCCATTCATTTGTTGATGGACATTTAGGTTACTTCCAAATCTTGGCTATTGTAAACGGAGCTGCTACAAACATGGGTGTGCAGATAATCTCTTTGATATACTGATTTCCTTTCTTTTGGGTATATAGCTAGCAGTGGGATTGCTGGATCAGATGGTAGCCCTATCTTTAGTTTGCGGAACCTCCAAATTGTTCTCTGTAGTGCTTGTGCTAATTCACAATCCCACCAACAGAGTATGTAGAGAACTCGCCTTTTGCAGAGAGGAGTATCGAATAATTTGCAGAGATGTATTACAATCTTCACATCCAGTTTCCTGTGATGCCGCTTCTCTTTTACTTTTCTGTCTTTTGCTGATCATTCTCTGTTTTACATTAATTCTTGCTGCCTGTGGCTCATCGTTTCCTCATACAGTTGGCCCTCCATATCTGCAGGTTCTATATCCTCAGATTCCACATCCTCTGAAACAACCAACTACTGATGGAAAGTATTTTGGAAAGAAAAAAACCGATATAACAATAAAAATAATACAAATAAAAAACAATACAATGTAACAACTATTTTCATGGCCTTTACATTGTTCCAGGTATTATAAGTAATTTAGAGAACGTGCATAGATTATATGCAAACACTATGCCATTTTATACCAGGGATTTGAGCATCTGTGGATTTCAATATCCTTGGCGGTTCCTGGATCCAATCCCTCGAGAAGACAGAGGGATGACTTTATTAGCGTCCTTAGTACTAATCTGCACATTTTTTTTTCAGTTTTCATATTCAATTCATTAAATAGCAAGCCTTTAACAACTTTATGGAAATATGACTTTCTAATTTCCTTGACAAAATGCTTCCCACCTACCTAGAAAAGGCTTGTCAGAGTTTTCTGCCTTTCACTGAGCTCTCTGCTCCATGGCCAGCTGCCTCTGGGCTGTGTCCCTTTGTGTTTAACATCTGCCAGTATAGAGGGAGAGGTTGAATTCATTGAATTACTCAAACAGAAAGAATAACTTCTTTATTGGGGTTCAAACTGAAAAGAAAAAATGTATGCGTTCTGCCCCCACCCCAGCGCGCGCGCAAACACACACACACACACACACCCACACCCACACACACACACCACCCTTTGGACAGATGTGTGAACAGTGCTCTCACTTGGACACATTGAGCATCTTTGTCTGCTGCAGCTGAGGGGTCTATTTAATCTTCATCGTCATATGGCCTTCATTAAGATTTTCCAGATTATTTTCTTCCACCCAGGTCACTGAGTTTCTAACTTCTTAAAAATTAATTAGATATTAACTAGCTTGTTTATATCACTTTAAGTTTGCATGGCATTAAATTCTTAGAAATTAATTAGATGTTAACTAGCACGTTTATGTCACTTTAAGTTTATACAATACTTTCAGCTATATTACCCAATTGCAACCTCAAAAGAAACCCCTGTCTTATTTGTCCCTATTGATAGTTGAGAAACTCGAGGTTCAAAAGTGTAAGTGCCCTTTTCAAGATCACACAGCTTTTAAGATGTGGAACTGGGAACTAAAGCATGTCTTCTAACTCCAAGTACCTACTGTGCATATACACTGTATCATGCTAGTGCTACTGAATTTCAGTGCAAACTTCTTCATTATTTGTGTCAACAAGGCTCAGTGGTGCTGACAATGGATAGTCTGCCCGAATATTTCAAGGCCTTGCTTAACATTTTTTCTTTCTTAATTTTTTGATAATATGTGAACATGATAAAAAATTTAAAAAATACAAGTTTTCCTCCATCCTTGATCCTAAAATGTACATATATAGCTGTATACATATATGCCTAATACACATGCAAATTGTAGAATACTATATGTTTTGTTCTACACCTTGATTTGTTTCACATAATGGTATAACTTGGAGTTCATTCAGCACACCTGGAGCTATCTCACTCCTGTTAATGACTGTAGAATCTTTTTCTTTCTTTTTTCCCTTCCTCTTCCCTACCTCCTTTCCTCCCTCCCTCCCTTCCTTCCTTCCTTTTCTTCCTCCCTTCCTAGCTTCCTGCTTTCTTTCATTCCCTTCCTTCCCCTCCTTCTCCCCCTTCCCCTCTTCCTCCTCTAATTTTTAAGAAGTTACAAATTCAGTGGCCTGAGTGGAAGAAAATGATCTGGAAAATCTTAATGAAGGCCATATGACAATGAAGATTAAATAGACCCCTCAGCTTTCCCTTCCTCCCTCCCCTACCTCTCTTTTCCTTTCTTTTCTTTTAAGACAGGGTCTTGTTCTGTCACCCAGGATGGAGTGTACTGGTGTGATCATAGCTCACCGCCCCCTCAAATTCTTGTGCTCAAGAGATCCTCCTGCCTTGGCCTCCTAAAGTGCTGGGACTACAGGCATGCACCACCTCGCCTGGCTACTCTTTAAATATTTTGTAGAGATGGGGTCTTATTTTTCTGCCCATGCTGGTCTTGAACGCCGCATCAGGCTCCCAAAGTTCTGGGATTACAGGCCACCATGCCTGACCAAGATTATTTCATTGCATGTATGTGCTATCACTTACTTAATCAGTCTCCAACTGAAGGATATTTGATTTGTATTATTTTATATTATCAAAAAATATTGCATTAATTTCCCTTTTTTGTATACATGTGAAAATATTTTTATTAGATATACTAGGATCAGAATATGTATATGTAAAGGTTTCACAGATATTTAATTTTGATGTAAGTAGAATTTGTGGGTCAAAAATATGTACATTTATATTTTTGACAGATACTCCCAAATTTCCTTGTATAAAGATTGTTCTAATCACCTTCTCACCAACATAGTGTAAGAGCCCTTGTTTCACTTTTCTAATATGTAATCACATTTTTGTTTTTCACCAATGTGATAGTTAAAAATGGTATCTTATAGTGTTTTTTGAGTTTCACTTATTTTGAGTAAGGTTGACTACTTTCTAATGTGCTGGAAAGCCATTTGTATTTCATTTTTGTGAGTTACTGTCTTTACCCATTTTTTCTTTTGTATTGTTGATATTTTCTTATTGATTTGTTGGAATATTTTTATACATTGCAAATATTTTTGCTGTTTGTTATATGTAAGCTGGAGAAAGAACATTTTCAGGCAGAAGAAATAGCAAATGAAAATATCTTGAGGCATACAAGAAGAAAAGAAATAACCACAGGGTGATTTTTCTCCATGCTGTGGTTTCTTTACATGTAGAAATTAAAAATATTGTATAGTCAAATTCATTTTTTTAATATTACAGCAGATTCTACATAGTTTCAAGACCACCTGATTTTGAGGTTGTAAAAATTTATCCCATGTTTCCTTTTAGCAATTTTAATGGCTTCATTTTGTACGTTGAAATCTATCTATCCATCAATAATTGATTTTTTGTGAAAGGTCAAAAGTCAAAATGTGTTTCCCTCAGATGGCTATTCAGTTGTTCTGACGGTTATTGGACAATCCATCTTTTACCTACTGATTTGAAATGACACTTTGATCATATCTTAAATTCCTGCATGTATTTGAGTCCATTCCAGGACTCCCTGTTGTGCTCTATTGTTCTGTTCTTCCAGGCATAATATCATATTGTTTTAATTAGTATAGCTTTATAATATCTTTTGTTCTCTACTTGGACTTACCTTTTCATTACTCACTTTTCTCAGAATGTTCTTGACTGTTCATTTTTCCATATTAACCTTAGAGCTCATTTTTCCATGTTAACCTTAGAATCAGCTGGTTTCATTCTAAATATTCCTGTTGGTGCCTTTATTGAGATAACTTTGAATGGACATGTTTAATTTAATATTGAGTCTTACTAGTTATTCCTCTGAATTTTAAGATGAGTTTTCTTGAAGTCAACAACTATATGAGGACAAGCATTAATACTATTCTCATTTTACAGAGGCAGCAGAAATCTTCTGAGAGGTTGAAAACATTTCTTATTCCTCAAGTTCACAAAACTGACAAGCCTTGGAAAGGGCCTAGGCCCAGATGGTCTCCCTTATACGCTTGATCTTCCATCTACTCAGTCTCATCTAGCCCTTATGACAGGGAGAGGCAGCTCCTGGAAACCAATGACACATCTGTTGTGGCATGCAGTCAGACAAACCAGCATGGGGTGGCAAAATAGCACGGGCTTTGTGCCTAGCAAGATCCCAGTTTCCTTCATGACTTTGTTATTTCCTATCTGTGAGACCTTGCAGAAACTCTTTTTTAGACAGTACTTGATTTGCAGAGGATTAGGAGACTACGCCCTACCTAATACTTGGCACTTGGAGGCACTCAATCAATGGTATGTTCCCCAGACCCCTTCAGAAAGGTGTTAAATTCTTTTCCCATGTGACACTGATCTTAGTGATCCCTTTGTAATGTTAAGCTTACCAGACTGGTGATTTTCCCTTACGGATGAAGTTTCAGGCTACATAATAAGGGGATAATCTTTAGGCCACATAGGGAAAGGGGCTCTGCTTAGGGTGGCACGTGGCCTTGCTCTTCACAGCTTCCCCATGCAGCTGTGCTAAGGCCTCTTGTCTACCCCTTTGGGATCCTTTTTGGGGGTCTTCATTGGAGGCTTTCCCCTGCTCCCCCACCATTTCTCTAGGGATAATTTTTAATAGAAAACAGCCATTTAAAATGAATCCACTTAGAATAGGGACCAAAACTTTATAGTAAATAGGGAAAGATGTCTAAATTGGTTATTGGTTATCTTGGAAAATAAAACTAAAAATTATAAAAAGTTCTCTTTTTGGGATAAAATTAACACAATAATTACACGTTTAGAGTGAACAGAGAATGAATCATGATTGATTCATTTTTGGTATAAAATGTTTCAAAGATAATTGTATGATTATATATATTTATATCACATTTTTGCATCACAAGGAAAAAGTTGAGCACTTCATTAGTTTTCCTAAGGGTCTCTCTTCATCAGGAGGAATTTCAGTAACACTGGCTTTGCTGGATTGAAGAGTTCGGTCTCTGCAGGAGGCTCATTTGTCAATGGCTTTGCTCGTAATTCCAGCGGCTCTCACCCATAACTTTGGTCAACTTTATGAATTCATTCACCTTTTGCAAGTTTGGCAATTTCACATTGCAATTGTGTTGCATGAATTTGTACCGATTTTTAAAATGAAGTTTGTGGCATGTGAGAGCCAGTGTAGTAAACTGAAATAATTGTCCCCCAGTCATGTCCATGTTCTAGTTCCTGGAACTGGTGAATGTTACCTTATAGACAAAGGGGACTTTGCAGATATGATTAAATTAATAATCTTGAGATCTTAAGGATCTTATCCTGGATTATCTAGGTGGGTCTGATGTAACACAAAGGTTCTTAGAAGAGGGGGACAGGAGATCAGAATGAATAATAGGAGATGTGTTCATAAAAGCAAGAGATTGAAATGAGAGATCAGAAGAGGCTGGAATTTCCCATCAGCCAGGAAAAGCCCACAGCCTCTAGAAGTTAGAAGAAACAAGGAACAGATTTTCTCCTGGAACTTTCAGAAAGAACAAACTCTGCCAATCCCTTCATCTTAGGCCTAGAATTCTTTCTAGACTTCTGACCTTCAGAACTGTAAGAGAATAAATTTGTGTGGCCTTAAACCACTGACTAAGTTTGTCTAATTTGTCTCAGCAACAATGTGAAACTAATACTGTCAAATAGTAACCAAAGTTCTGATGAGAGCACAGGAGTGAATAAATCTTGTCACGAGGAGTGTCAGTCCAAACTGAATACTTTAATGACTTTGTCTTCTTCATATAGCCTATTGTGATGTATGTGTCTGTAGGTGTACACGTGTGTGTGTGTGTGTGTCTGTGTGTGTGTACAAAGGAAAAGTAATATTCAAAGGGCAATTGGTATAAACTTTTCCTTTCTTCCGTCTTGTCAGGAGTGGGGATTCTTCCTCGCAGAATGCCTGTATCCAGTTAGGGAAATGGTTGAAGACAAAAACTGAAGAAGCCACAGAAGACTGGTGATTGCACTTAAGAAACAGCCTGAAACTACGTGAGGTCTGAAGGCAGATGCTGACAGGTTAGTGAGACGTCCAGCCAAGTGATGCTAGAATATTTTCAGAGACAGAGAATGAGAATAGGTGCAGCTGCGCCAAGAGGGAGGACTCTGGGGTGGGAGGGGCGGGGGAGCAGAGAGAAGTCAGGAGGATTTCAGAAAGTTGTCCTGTGTGTTGTGTATTGTAACTTACACCTCTGCTGCTGCCCAACCAGCCCCCCCTTCATGGAAATCTTTAATAACGATCCAGGGTTAGGCTTTTGTTTATTTTTTAAAATAGCTCTGGAGTGCAGCTGGTCCTAAAGTAGGAGGAGGCACGATTTTATCTGGATGGCATGTTATCAAAAACTTTTATTATTTCTTACCAGAGGCTTCTCAGCCTGGTCTCTCTGACCTATAATCTAGGCTGGGACCCAGAATGCCTGAGGCTCTGGTCTTTAGCATTTTGAGTAAAGCCTTCATGTTGGCTGTCTTCTTACAGGCTGCCTTCATGGCAATTTGTTCTTTCTGAGCAGCTGCTTTGTGGGAAAGGCCTTCGAGAGAGAAGCCTTTTGAACCTCAGCTTTATGCTTCTGTTTCTCATTTTCTCTGCTTTTCTGAACTTGTAACAAACATCTGTCATTTTGGAACTCCTTTCTCTGGCTACAATCTTTTTGGTTTATCTTGTAACTGACTGTTTTGGATGGATACTCCTTTCTGGGGCAGCTTCTATCCTGTTTGATGAGCACCGTGTGGAGATTTGCGAGTAAAGTCAATGAACTGTGTATGTTTGCACACCAAAAGCTCACATCATTATACTACTTCATACACCATCAACCGAGGTTCAGTTCTGATCAATAATAATGATAATTGCAACCAGTCTCCCAGCATGTAGCCCACAGGAAATGCAGACTCCCCGGCCAGCTTCCATATCGTGTTTGGTGACTTCCAGCCTGAAGCACTGGAGGCTTCTGTGCAGTTTCAGTTAGATGTCTCCTTTACTGTGTCCCTGCCTTGGCCCCAGAGAGAATTAAATATGCTTTTCGACTTTGAAATATCCTCTGCATGTTATTGGGCTTGTGGGTTCTGCTTGAAATTATCCTAAAATGTGCTATGTGATTTGAGTGGTTTAATTTTATTACTACTTTTTCCCCAACTGAAGTTCGGCTGAATGATTAACAGTTGGCTAGAGAGGTCATTCAGGAGGCACAACTCACTGGGAATTCCACTGCAGATCCTCACGTGTTCAGCTTCCCATTCCAGCAACGACTTCCTCCCTGGAAAGAGGGGCTCTGTCCATATATTTATGATCTGAGCGGATCAAGTCAGGGAGAACATAATGGGATTTATTTTTCTCTGGAGTCTGAAAGTCCTGCACTGCAGTGTCCATATGGACCATCTTGCCTTGCCAGTGCTCCATGAAATGTGGCTGAGTCCAAAGAACTGGGGCCTCCAACTGGCCCATGTACCAGGAGGCAGGCACGTGGTGTGGCTGGTGTATGGAAGTTTTATGACTTTGAGAGTATAATTAAGGCCTGGGTGATGACTGCAGAAAACTAATAGCTCTGGAAGCGCAAAATAAGAAAGGAGTCTTTAGCATAAACGAAAAGCAAGGACTTGTTTCAGGAAATTTTTGACAAAGGTGAAACAAATGGACAAGCCTGAGTTACTTTTTTTTTTTTTTTTTTTTTTAAAAATAGATTTGGTGAGCAGAGGAATCTGTCACCCAACAGAATCATTTACTAAGCAAAGATGAAAATTCTCAGATAAATATCTATGTTTTGCCTGGTGGCTGGCATGCTAGGATTATTTTGACAGAAAGTAAATAGCAGGGTAATATGTGTGACTTGAGAGAAAAAAATTTGGGTCAACTCATGTTATTTTGTGAAAAGATCCAATCAATTTCACTCCCATTGCCAGAGGAAGAAGTTATGTAGCCACACTGGGTGAGGCTCACAAATTACTCTACAATCAAGAAGTAAATAATATCTAAACCCTACAAATTGAATTTTTATTAAGAAATTCATCTCTGCTTACCTCAGGGTTTATACAATCTTTTAAAGCTTGTAGAGAAAGGCAATATATCTCAATGTGCAAAACCAGATTGATTGGGGTGAGGAATTTTAATTCTTAGGGTCAGGAATATGCCTCACCTTTTGAAACAGGCTTAATGAGAAAGGAGCAGACAAATGTTGCTTTAAAAGCGATTCTAATTCTTCTTGTGTTGTCTTTTATCTATATTACCACTCCTGTTGCTAGTTTCATGTAGTTTACAAATTGGGATTAATGGCTTTTTTTTTGCATAAGAGTTTCAAGGTCACGATTTCATAAATTGAGTAAATAAATAAATCCCTCTCTACCATTGACTTTCTGTGTACTTAACATCTATATATTTATTACTTTCTGCATTCGTAAGATGCCAGTACTGCTATTAATAAAATTTGTATTTCCTGTACCAGGGCTTGTTGTTTAATCAAAAAATATAAGTGGCAAGGCTTACCATAACATTTTTCAAAGATGAACGAGTGAAAATGTTTATTCTGCTTTGCGCTGCCCATTGTCAGATTCTCTTCTATAAGAATGGATGATAAAAATAACAGCTACAGTTTGAGAAATTATGTGAAAGGTATTTTGCTTGTAGGTGCTCATTTAAGAAAGGTATTATTATTCCTATTCTATGGTGAAGGAAACTGAGATTGAGAGAGTTTAAGGAACTTGTCTGTGTAATTAAGGGTGGTTTCAGAGCCAAATTTTGAATGCTGGGCTGTGTTGACTCTGAAAGCCTGTCTCCTTCTACAATTTCCCATCATATTTCAAAAACTATATCCCTTTTGACCTATGATTTAGGTCATATATCCCTTTACAGCTCTGCCCCTTGACCTCTTCCCTGACCTCTACGAGTTACAGAGGTCTGTGTCATGGAGCATTGTTGAGCAAGACTTTCTGATGTGATATCAGTCAGGGTAGGCTGGATTATGCTGTGGTATAAGCAACCCTCCTATCTCAGTGGTTTGAGATAGCAGAGACTTATTGCCTGTCACGTGTCCAAACTACATGTCCAACTTGGAAGTGTCTCTGATTCAGGATTTCCCTAGGATCAGGCTGTTGGAGCCTCCAACATATGGTACATTGCTGGACCCTGTGACAGGGTGAGGGAACAGGGTCAATCAGGCATGGGCTCTTCAAGGCTTCTGACGGGAAGTGACACATGGACTTCCTCTCTCATGTCCTTGTCCAGAGCATTTCACTTGGCCCCACCTAACTTCACAGGGGCAGGCATGGTACTACTGTATCTCCAGAAGGGAGGGAACAAGCAATGTCAGTGAATGGCACACTACTATGTATATCCAAAATAAAGCTATATTGATCTTAAAATAAATACATGGTAGCTTTAAAAAATTGCAATACATAATGGTTACAATTTAAAGAGTTCCCTAGACCCATTCCTAAGGACCAGAAAAGACATGACTGCTCCAGAGATTGTTCTAATTCAGTAACCTACATTAATGACTTCCTTATAGCAGAACTGAGAGGTGACATGTTTTCCTTCTCTAAAAAGGCACTATTTATAACGATTTGTTTGTTAGCTGGATTTTAAGGAAGAGATAGTGGTAGATTTAAAAGTAACCAGCACAGATGTGTTGCAAAAATAATTGAAAGGACAAAAATTTTCCTAGTTCATCTGGGCTTCTCCCCAAGGGTTCCCATTTATATAACCCATATAAGACTGAAAACTGGAATTTAGTGTTTTAATTCAAATGAGATAGATCGCTAGGTACCTTCTTCTAGGTTGTTTTTGTAAAATAAGAAGGTGTAAATTAACTCTCAGGCGTCAATTTGAACGAGCCCATGAGGCAAATGACAGGAAGATTGGTTAGAGAAATTTCCCCAGCAGAGAGGACTACGTTGGTTGGGGCTTGGAGGCAAGAGAAACCTTAGCTGTCCTAAATAAAAATTCTATGCAGTGATTGCAATTAATAGTCCATCACATGAAAATAGAATGAAATCACCTGGAACTCTGTCCTGTAGTTGAGTTCAGAATTTGTGATTTTTAACTTTGGCATTTTAATTTTGTGCTGCTTTCAACAAAAGCTAAGCATAGCAATTCCACAAAGGCATAATATAACTACTGGAGCTCTTAGCTTCTACCTTGCAGTGTCTGGCAATGCTCTTGCATGCTCTGTGAAAGATGCAATCACACAATCAAAGTAATATTTTCCCTGAGGTTCCCTGGGGCAGACTGGTTCTGCAATTTTCCAGTAATTGTTTTAGAAGGACAGCCTGGATTTGGTTTTACTATTAGATCTTTCCCCCTGCATTCTCCACACTGTGGGTCCTGGCTTCTCTGTTACCAGTCTCACTAAGTACCGGAGATTGGGGTGGAATGGTATGTACCATTAATTACCCAGTGGGATTTGGTGCTTCTCTGAATGGACTCCCTAATCCATAAATCCCCACTATCTGTGCAGGCTGGAACATAAGTATCTTTCCGAAGTAGGTGATAAGGTTAAATAATTCTTGGGCATCCAGATTCTGTGGCATGAGGAGTGAGTTGCTCTTTAAGATTAATATACTTTCTTTTGAGTTCACATCCCCAGAAATAACTAAGGTTTGTGCTTATAGATCTTTTTTTTCCCTTTTATTTATCAGCCTCCATAGCAAACCTTGAAGTTGATAAGCCACATACCATTGCTGTGATTATTATTTTTTCCTTCCATTTCATAGGTAAGAAAATAAATGGAGGCTCTGGGTGTTTGGCCAAGTCAAAAAGCTACAAAATGCTAGAATCTGGCTTTTCAGACTCCAAGTCCTGTGCTCTTTTCTTATATAATGCTTGTTAGTATTCTGGCCATGAAGTTTAATAACACGGGAATAATAATAATCCAGTATCCCCTCCCTTCATTGTCCCCAGAGTTACCAGTGGTTACAACAGACCCGGACTTCCTGTGAGGCGCCGCTGGTGGTCTGGTGCCCTCTGCTGGTGAAGCCGCCTGGCTTTCTTGTTGCTTGGTTTCCTCTGGATTTTTATCTTCATCTTCCTGGCGCAACATCTTTCAGCAGAGTGTGCCGTTCTTATACGAAGGTAAGAAGCCATTCTGCTGGACACCTTACTTGAAGAAACACTCAGAGAGAATCAAAGAAAGCAGGACTTGGCATTTCTTCGACAGTATACCCCTGTGTGTGAACGCTCCCTTTTTCCTGCCATCCGCCGAGGGGGAACTTTCTAGTACTCAGTTCCCAATGTGACCCTTGCCCCCCTCAGCTCTGGCATTCTTTTAATTCCCTTTGAAAGAGAGTGTACATTCTTCTCCAGAACACACAAGAGGAGGCAGCCAAGAAGAAGAGAAGTCTGGGAGCCCTGGAAGAAGTTAGGCAGGAGCGCCTCATCCTCAGGGAGCCAAGATGGAGACGACCCATGACTCGACCCTAGAAAGGCAGGTCAGCTTCTGCAGGGTGGTAGTGAGGGCAGGCTCATGGTGGAAAGAGGCAGGTCTTCATGGACTGGGGCCAAGTCCAACAGATCAGCTGAGATGACAAGTCAGGCAAGTAGAAATTGAGTCGAAGTGCTTAAGCCAGAGACAGATGAGTGACTCAACTGGTTAAGATTTGGTTAGTAAAAGGCTAGGGTTCTCACATGCTCACTTGAAATTTTTGTTCCATAGTCTTCTCTGGGAAAATAGAAAATAAATTGTGCGGTGGCCCTGCTGCTGTCAAAAGGAGTTGTCAATTTGCATCAGTTGTCAGTTTGCATAGTTTATAATATACTGTCTAGAGGTTGTTATTAATAATTAGGATTTTCACTCTGATGAGTCATGGAGCAATTTATGTAAATTACAACACACAACATTATCTGGAACAAGTATCAGAAGAAAGGTGGCAAATTACCTATATCAGTGGTTCTTAAAGTGTGGTCCCTGGACCACCATCATCATCATCATCCGGGAACACATTAGAAATGCAAATTCTTAGGCCCCATGCCAGACCCATTGAATCAGAAACTCTGGAGGTGGGCCTAGCAATCTGCGGTTTAACAAGCCCTCCAGGCGATTCTGATGCACACTCAAATGTGAACAGCACTGCCTTAGATTATAGTATAAGTGATGAATACTAGATCATTTTCACTATGGAAGGCCTATAAATGTGATGGTTGGAGGGAAAGGAGGCAGGAATATGAGGCAACAATTTGAAAGACACATGTCTGCTATGTACTGAATAGTAAAGATTGCTTGAAGTTTGACCGTGAGATAAATTGAGCTAATAACAATACCATATAGCTTAAAGTTAAATTGCCACGATCACAAAAGGACAAGGTGGAGAGTCTGAAAGAAATGATGATAACTGGGATTGATCAGGTCCATTCTGTGATTGTTCTAGGGCATTGCTGTGAGGCTGCCCTGTGTTCTGACACTGTGACCTTCTTTGATAGAAATGCAGGAAAATTATATCTTCTTGAAAAGGTCAAGACCAAAACGATTTCATAGAAATTAATTTTCTTAGGGGGAAAAAGGAATTGACAATGTCATGTGAAAATTTTATTGAAAAATGTTTATTCAATTTAGGTAATAGTAAATGATAAAGCATCAGAAATGTCTTCTTTGATCTTTTATTAAAAGTATGATTCATAAGACTTCAATGAAAAAAGATACAAAAGGCCCATAAGCATTATTCTCATCTTCACCATCTAGTTATTTCTTTCTTGAAAAAACAGCATTTCTTTAACATAGTGTGAGATAATAGAGGGCTTCTGGAGAATTTAGTCCTTATGGCTGAGATTCCTGAAATTGCCAAATAAGTCACTGATTGTCATTTTGTGTGAAAGAGATGAAGAAAAACCTGTTCTCAATTACTGGGCAGCTGGTATGTTTTAATTGTTTGCTTTTTACAAGCAGTAAAATAGAAGGAGTATTCCTTAAGTATCCTTATATGCTATTAATGCAGTGCTTCTCACACGCATTGTGCATCATGATCCCCAGGGAACTTGTTAAAAATGCAGATTGGTCGCCTTTTGAGGTTTTGATTTAGTAGGGATATGATTTTTAACAAGCATCCAAATGATTTTGGTGTAGGTGGTTTGAGGACCACACTTTAAAAAACCCTGCCCAGAGCCTACCCATTATTTATGCGCTCATTATTTGAGCGTATCTGAAAGTGACTGACAATTTATAAAATGCCAGTTTAGTGTAGATAAAGACTTAACAGTGAGCAACAGCTGCTTATTCCAATAGAACCTTGTTGTTTGGCATTGGGGGAAAATGAGCATTATACATAAGATAATGTTTTAAAATTAATACGTTATTTGTTTAGAGCAGTTTTAGGTTTACAGGAATTTGAGCAGATAGCACAGAGAGTTCCCACATATTTCCTCTCACCTACATCTCAGTTTCCCTGGGTACACTTGTTACTGTTGTACACTAACACTTGTTTGTTTTGAACTGATACTGATACCTTATTATTAAATGAAGTTCAGAGTTTAGGGTTCACTCTTTGTGCTGTATATTCTATGGGTTTTGACAAATGTATAATGCTCTGTATCCACCATTACAGTGCCCTACAGAATAGTTCCAGTGCCCTCAGAATCCCCTGTGCTCCACCTATTCATCTCTTACTCACTCCCCCGTTCCAAACTTTTGGCAACTATTGGTCTTTTCATTGTCGCTATCCTTTTGGCTATTTCAGAGTGTCTTCTTGTTGGGGTTCCATCAGGTTGGTGGGAAAAATATTAAAGATATAGTAATAGTCAAAAACTCTCTTGGAAGGCCTGAGAGTTTTTGACTATTACTATAACTATCTTTAAAGGCCTGAGAGTTTTTGACTATTACTATAACTATATTTAGTATGTTTCCCACCAGCCTGATTGAAACCCAACATCTTCTATAGTTGAATCATATAGTACAGTATATGTATAGTATGGTAGCCTTTTCAGGTGGTTTCTTTTCACTAGGCAACATGAGTTTAAGATTGCTTTATGTCTTTTAAGTGGCTTGATAGCTCATTTCTTTTACTGCTGAATAATACTCCATTATATGGATATACCACAGTTTGTTTATCCATTTACCTTTTGAAGGACATCTTAGTTGATTTCAGTTTTTTTACAATTATGAGTAAAGCTACTATAAACATTTGTGGGCAGGTTTTTGTGTGGACTTGAGTTTTCAACTTATTTGGGTAAATACCTAGTTGTGCAATTGCTGAATAGTATTGATAAGATGAGGTTTAAGCTTTGTTAAGAAACTGCGAAGCTATCTTCCGAAGTGGCTGTACCATTTTGCATTCCCACTATCAATGCATGAGATGTTGTTCCACATCCTTGCCAGCATTTGATATTGTTAGTTTTTTTTGGGGTTTTCACCATTCTAATAGGTATGTGGTAGTATCCCACTGTTATTTTTTATTTTACATTTTTATTTTTCTTTTTGAGACAGAATCTTACTTTGTCACCCAGGCTGGAGTGCAGTGGTGTGATCTTGGCTCACTGCAACCTCCGCCTCCCAAGTTCTAGATTCTTCTGCCTCAGCCCCACGAGTAGTTGGGATTACAGGCGCCTGCCACCGCGCCCAGCTAATTTTTGTGGAGACGGGGTTTCACCATCTTGGCCAGCCTGCTCTTGAACTCCTGACCTCATGATCTACCCATCTCGGCCTCCCAAAGTGCTGGGGTTACAGGAGTGAGCCACTGCGCCCGGCCTATCCCACTATTATTTTAATTTACAATTCCCTAGTAACATATGTTGAATATCTTTGCATATATTTATTTACCATCTGTATGCCTTTTTTAGTGGGGTGTCTGTTCAGATATTTTGACCATTTTGTAATTAAGTTGTTTGTTTTCTTATTGAGTATTGAGTTCTTTGTGGATTTTGAATACAAGTCTCTTATTGGATATGTTTTGCAAATATTTTCTCTCAATCTGTGGCTTGCTTTTCATTCTCTCAATAGTTTCTTTTGTAGAGCAGAGTTTTTAATCTTCATGAAGCCCAACTTACCAATTTTTTATTTCATTGATTATGCTTTTGGTGTTGTATCTAAAAAATTATTACCATACAAAATGTCATCTAGATTTTCTCCAATTTTTATTTCTAGGAGTTTTATAGTTTTGCATTTTACATTTAGCTCTATGATCCATTCTGAGTTAATTTTTGTGAGGGTGTAAGGTCTTTGTCTGGCTTCATTTTTTTTTATACATGTGGATGTCCAGTTGTTACAGCACCATTTATTGAAAAGACTATCCTTTCTCCATTGAATTATCTTTTGCTATTTAGTTTAATATCAGTTGACTATATTTGGGTGGGTCTATTTTTGGGGTCTCTGTTCTGTTCCCATGATCTATTTGTCTGTTCTTATACAAATACCACACTGTTTTGATTATTGTAGCTTTACAGTAAGTCACAGAGTCAGGTAATGTCAGCCCTCCAACTTTGTTCTTTTTCAGTATTGGCTTTTGTAGTCTTTTGTCTTTTCATTTAAACTTTAGTTTACATGTTTGTCAATACACAAAATCAGTTGTTGGGATTTTGATTGGGATTGTGCTGAATTTATGTTAGGAAGAACTAACATTTTAACAATATTGAGTATTCCTATCCAGATACGTTTTTTAATATGTGAAAACATTTCTCTGTAAGCTTTAAACTTTTAGATATCACAACATTTTACCTAATACTTATAAAATATGTTTATTTCCTTAACTTTCCAAAAGTTTATGAAACAAAACTTGACCTTTTCCTTATGACTTAGGATCATCCCTGTAAGCTTTATTGCATTAGATGTTAATACAGTTGTATCTACTGCTTATTCTTCTGTCTCTCAATTAGGTGTTTAGTTATCATTGTGGTTGTTTGGGTGTCTCTGCCACCAGCTGCACTGTGGGCTCCTTCAAGGCTAGGATCATATTTTGGCTGTTGATGCTTCCCCAGTCCAGTAGACATTTTATACTTGTTCGTTGAATGAATTGTGATTGTCTCCAACATCCGTTTATCTCTTCTTATTTTTCTGCTTCTAATCTGTTGTACTCTAGAAAAACAGAAAAACTTCATTAAGAACTGTATGTTTAAAAAGAGTCAATTAGGTTCAAAACAAAGCCCCTTGTACAATCTTTGTGAGAGTTATTGTGGCTTTTAGAGAAGTACAGTGCTAGTGTGTATCTTCAAACATATAGAAAATTTGAATATCCATATGTCTTCCATCTAAAAAAAATTGCTCATGTCTTGTCATATTTTCATGTCTCCCTTGCAATATATTAATACATACATATACATGTGCTGTGCCGTGGGAAAATTAGTAATGAGTTGTAAAGTCCCATATCGTTGAAAATGCATCATCTAAGAATAAATATGATGGAAATACTTTACTATACTTAAGAAATTAATCATAATGATGTAATATCATGTAGTAGACATTCCATATTTAATTTTTTTCAGTTGTTACAATAATATATTTTTTTGTGATCCATCCTAAATTCCCACATTGCAGTTGGCAGGTGTGTTGTGTTGTGTGGTGTGATGTGTTAGGTGGTATGATATGTTGGTTGTGCTGTGTAACCTTTCCTAAGTCCCTTAACATCCCTGGTAGTATAGATGATCTCTAGTGTTATTTTGAGTTCTGAGAGTCTGCGAGTCTATAATTATAGGCCATTTTAGTTCTATAATGTTGTGATTTTATTTATTTATTTATTAGAGACAGGAACTTGCTCCGTTGCTCTGAAGTGCAATGGTTTGATA